AAAAAAAAAATAAAATTATATTAGTTAAAATAAATTGCTTACGTACGTACAGTACATGTAGATTCTTCATATTTCTTTAATTTTAATTTATGAATAATAATTTATCCGAAATTCAGATTCTATATAAAATTTAATTTCAGATATCCAATTTCAGGCGACCTTGTTTCTGAAATTCAGAAGTTTAATTTCAAATATCCTAATTTCAGATGGCCTCGTGTCTGAATTAGAAATTAAATAGTTACACAGAAATTGATAACAAAAAGGATTGGAATGATGGAACCGTGGGCTGAATAATAGAATTTTTTATTTTTTTTTTTTATCTCAATATGGTTTTAAAAAAAAAACCAGAAAAAAATTTAAAAGAATTGGAAACGAGAATTAAGGACTTAGAACAAAGCAAAAAGAATGCCGATGAAGAAAATCGAACGTCATGGAATGAGGTAGGAAGTAAGGATTTAGATGATTTAAAAAAATTATTAGCAGGACGAAAAATTACTGAAATATTGAATGAGCTAGATGACCTAAAACTAGCCACACAGAACTTAAATACTGATTTAAAAAAAAAACTGAAGAAGTATCTACTTTAATCAATCAGCTCAAATATTTACAAGAAACTATTAATAATTTAGAAAAAAATATTAGAGAACGGGAAGAAGAAGCAAAATCCTACCTAGAGACTATTAATAATTTAAAAGAAAATATTAGAAAGCGAGTAGAAGAAGCAAAAGCTTACCAAGAGACTATTTATGATTTAGAAAAAAGGGTTAGTGAAAGAGAAGAAGAAACAAAAGAAACTGTTAATGATTTAGAAAAAAATATGAGAGAACGGGAAGAAGCAGCAAGAGCCTACCGAGAGACTATCAATTATTTAGAAAAAAACGTTAGAGAGAGGGAAGAAGAAATAAAAGCCAAGCGAATATCGATTAATCAGTTAACTGAAAAACTTAAAGAGAAAGAGAAAGAGACTAAAGAAATTATTAATGATTTAAAGGAAAAGATTAGAGAGCACAAAAAAAAAAACAAACCTCAAGAATTAGATATAATTTATGATGCTATAAGTGGCTTAACTATTACCGATACAAATACAGATTATATATTAAACGTTCCGGGTGGATTACAGAGATTTCAAAAATTAAAAGAGCTTCAATTCTCAGATACTCAAATTACTAGTTTACCAACTTTGCCCAACTCGTTAACAATACTCTGTTGCGATAGAACACAAATAACTAGTTTACCATCTTTACCCAACTCCTTAACGGAGCTCTCCTGTGATCGTTCTCGAATAACTAGTTTACCAATTTTGCCTCATTCCTTAACGATACTC